ATTATTATTATTATTATTATTATTATTATTATTATTATTATTATTATATCTCTTAATATCAATAGAGAGATATTCTCAATTTGGGAGTAAAAACCGCACTTCTGACCCCTTCCATCTTTTATGAATTAAAATACGGTAGTATAAAGTAACTAGTGATGTCAAATAACATCTCTGGAATTTTTGGCTGCCAGCCCTGCTGAATGTAAGCTATTTATCAGAAGGCCGCCGATCGCTATAAATTAAGTTTGCATTGATAACACAGAACTCATTATCCTTTGAATGTGCTTTAAGTTATTGCAGTCCCCCCCCCAAATCAAAAGACAAGGAGAAGAGCTAAATGACTCACCTTTAAACCTTTAGAGAAACTGTTTTTAACTCTCTTGCCTTGACCATGGTTTTTAAGATACCAAGGGATGGCATGCTACTTTGCAAATAAATAAAAAAAACCATTTCTTAGCTTGAAAATGCATCAAGGTAACTTTCCCTCCCCCTTCTGTATGCCTGCCTTATTTCTTTGTTTTTGTACCCAGAAACATAATCCAGAGTGAAGTTGTTTCTTCAGCCTTTCAATATCAATTAATTTTTAACTTTTTAAAGAAGGCATTTCCAGTCTTAAGTAGGTCCTCCCAGCAGAAGCTGGGTTGGAAAAGCAGCTGTGCAGGAGCTGATAAAACTGAAACACTGGAGCGTTTAAGCAGCCCAGAGGCGAAACATTACACCAGAGTTTATACAGCAGGACAGTTTTGTTCTCAATGAGCAGGAACCTCCATTGGCGTAATATCCATTTTGATGTCCTGAGCAGGGCTGCCCTTGAGGTTCCTCTGGAAAGCTATGCCTATCCATTTGGCAAAGTTCGCCAGGAAGAACGGTTTTAAAATAATTTTCAATTCCTGACTCTTTTCTTTCTTTGTTTTCCTTTTTCCCTTCCAAAGCATACTGCACTAAAAGTGGATCCAGGACCTGGGAATGGAGGGAACTTTTCACCTCTCAAGCTTTTAATATATTTGCAAATGAAGAAGTCAATGTACGTCAGGACAACATTTGAGAGAAATACCCAACGGAACCATGGGCACAGGTGAATGTCTGTTTGATAGTTCCGGTTGCATGTCTATTTTATTATTATTGTTTTAAAAAAGAATTGCATTCGTCCCAAAGTTACTTTTTTTCAAAAAGCAAATGGGCTTTGTTTTTCCTTGAAGACATTTCACTTCTCATCTCAGAAGCTTCTTCAGTTCTGACTTAACAATGGAGGATGGAAGGATTTATATTCCTCACAGTCATCTGGTTGTTAGGTCTCCCTCTGAGAGTCATTGAGGCCACTTGGACAGATAATCAGATAAACTCTCCAAGTGGCCTCAATGACTCTCAGAGGGAGACCTAACAACCAGATAACTGCGAGGGATATAAATCCTTCCATCCTCCACTGTTAAATCAGAACTGAAGAAGCCTCTTGGATGAGAAGCAAAACGTCTTCAAGAAAAAAAAACAAAGTCCAGTTGTCTTTTGCAAAAGCTCCTTTGGGACAGTCATGACCTGGATGAATGAGAATCTCCATAGACAATTAAATATGGGGTGCCTTACATACCACAATTGCATTAGTTCACTTGGAGGTCAGGATGGGAGGTTAATATTTTCTGGATCTTGCCCAGAACGTGGGATACGCCTGGCTGATTTGATATCTATTTCCTTCCAATTTTCTAAGTCCTGCCTAGCTCAAATTCATCCTATTACCCCTGAGAAACATTTGTGCGGTGCTATTCCAACATAACCGATACTGAGTTGTACAGAAGCCGGGGGAAAAAAGAAAAAGAAAACTAGATTTTGGCACAGGCGTGAAATCTGCCAGAGGGGCCTGCAGTCAGAAACACACAACAGAGGTGAAATTTTCAAGGGCCCCTCGATTCCTTGCCACACTAAATTCATTATTCTCGCAAAACCCTATCAGTGTCCTTGGGAATTTGTTTCCATAGGAACCTTTGCCCTTTATTGGGTTATGTCTCAACAGACATTGTATATATTGGATTTTTGTTTTTTTTTGCTTTGTGGTTGCCACGGCGTATTTTCCCCCATAGATGATGAGAACGAGAAGGGCGAGAGGGGGAAAATACGTTCTGAAATAACAGCACTTCAAGAATGGAAGAGATTTCTCTAGTTTGCCCACTGACCCATCTGACCATCTTCCTGATCAGAATATGTTTCTCTCCCATCAGCAGCTGATGGCTTGGGGAACATAGCTATAGACACGGCGCAATTTAACATGTCAGTCACTGATCCATCAGCCTGGGCGACCGCAATGAATAACCTGGGAATGGTACCGGTGGGATTAACTGGACAACAGATTGTGACAGGTAAGGGTTTTGCAAAGATTTGTTGCACAGGTTTATGGATTTTTTGTGTGTGTGTGTGGAGGGGAGTGAGAGCCCTCAGATAAATGTCCCACACGTCTGCTTTCCAAAGTTATGTGTTGGGTGTGAGTATCTTTCATGTACATTCATGGCTGGGTTTATTTTATTTTTTTCTCCCACTATTTCCTTTTATTAAAACTGTGTACTCTACTTTACGAATGCTGCGCACAACGCAATAATCTCTTGGCATTAACGGGCATCTAATCTATAGAATGCATTGTCCAGGTTTGTGAAAATAGACAAAATTCTCTAAAGAAATGCAAGGGTTTTTGTTTTGTTTTGTTTTTTACAAAAACTTTATTGAATAAATTTATAGATTCTTACTGGACTATAAGCTAGAGGAAGAACAGGTAAAAGAAATGATGCTGGCATGGGCTAAAAATTTTGGATACGGTATGAATTTGGATAAATGGCAAACTTTATGGGAGAGACACACACACAAAAATAACACTGGCCACATCATATAAGGAAAACCTATATAAAATGTTTTATGGGGCATGACAGGAGGCCAGATTCACTTAATGGCCGTTCGACTAACTGAAAAACTGTGGCAATTCACTTAACAACCGCGGCAAGGAAAGTCGTCAAATGGGATGAAGCTCACTTGACAAGCGTTTCACTTAGCAACTTAGAAATGCGGGGGGCTCCCTTGTGGTCGTAAGTCGATGACTGCCTTGTCATTCAGGACGCTTTGCTTAAGGACTAAAGGCTTAAACGTGACAAGAAGAAAGAAAAGAAGAAGAAAGACAAACTTGAGATCGTACAATCCGTAAATCTGTCCAGGCAGAAACGGGAAGCTGGGGTTCCTTATTCCTCAACCATTCTTATATAAATGAATCCCTATAATTCACTGGTCGTTCTTGATAGGGTTCTAATTATCTAATTGCCCTGCCATATCCCCAAAGATTTATTGATTCCCCCGGTGATGTCACCCTCTTTCACTCATGATGGCCCCATCCATCTTTTTCTCATCACGAAGAATCCATTAAGGAGATAGAGAATGGCTGGAAGCACAATTGTTCGTCTCTGAGTACAATGCCCATTATACAACACAAACAACAAAAGAGAGTAGGTGTGGTGAGTGTGTGTCCCCAAGAACATAAAGACCTATGGAGTTGGGCAAAGAGTAAACACAAATGAGAGGCCCTTTGTGCAGAGGTGGAATTCAGCCGGTTCGAACCGGTTCTACAGAACCAGTAGTGGAAATTTTGAGTAGTTTGGAGAACCGGCAAAAACTACCTCTGGCTGGCCCCACCCTCATCTGTTCTCTGCCTCCTGACTCCCAGCTGATTGGCTGGGTCTTCTTTGGTTGCCCTGCACAGGAGAACGGAGCGGGAAAGCAGGTTAGTGAGGTGGGGAGGGAATGGGGATTCTGCAGTAACCTTCCCCCAGGAGTGAGAAGGGAATGGAGATTTTACAGTATCCTATTGAGAGTTTGGCAGTGATAATTCTGCACCAGAAAAATAAACACAGATGGCTGACGCTTCATTTAACTTCTTTATAAACATAACGAGTAGATTTTACAAACCAGTTGTAGATTTCTCCCACATGGAACAAACTCAAAGAGAAACATGTTGCAAGTTCAGAGCAGAGCTCCAGTTTTCAGCAAGCAAGTTAGTTTCATCTTCAATAGACAGACTCAGAGCTTCAACCATAGCTGCAGGGTTGCAGAGCTTAACATAGAGCCATGCCTAGACTACTTCTAGTTTCAGTTTCCAGCCTGGGCTACTTCTTGTTTCAGTTTCCAAACTATCTTCATTGGCTGACTTAGTTGCTATGCCTGTTCATTGGCTGACCTTGTTACCAAGTTCTATTCCAGTTCATGAATATACTGACATATCCTTCCCCTGCCACACCTAACAAGCCACCCCCACAGAACTGATAGTAAAAAGGGAGGGAAGGGGGAATTTGCAGTATATCCTTCCCCCAGGAGTGCGGTGGGAATGGAGATTTTACACTATCCTTCTCCTGCTGCGTGCACCAAGCCATGCTCATCAAGCCAGTGGTTGCAGTGTGACGTTGTGGGTGCTCCATCACTGGAAGGTTTTAAGAAGAGACTGGACAACCATTTGTCTGAAATGCTATAAAGTGTCCTGCTTGAGCAAGGGGTTGGACTAGAAGACCTCCAAGGTCCCTTCCAACTCTGTTATTCTGTTAAGCAAAGCCAATGAGGAAGCCAGATTCAATTAACAACCATGTGACTCACTTAACTGTAGTGATTCACTTAACAACAGTGGCAAGGAAGGTGTGATGACCCAAAGGGGCATGGCACTAAAGCAACAAAGTCACAAAAGTACGTAAAGTCCCTTTAATTCCTCTAACTTGGCCTCCAATGTCCAGTTATCATCATCTGGAGAAAAAACTCTCCCAAGAACAGTTTTTAAAGGGAAGAAATTCAGTCCAAACCCAAAGTACATCTAAATTATAAATAAAAACCAACACAAACCACGCTGCAGCAATTAATGAGACAGGGCAGGAATTGCAGACTTTAAAAGATAACGAAACACACATAGTGGGGAGGATGCCAGAACCCAGATAAAACTTGACAAAAAAAAAGATAATGCACACTTTGCTTCCAGCAAGGTTCTGTGCGCAAATGCCCTTTTAAAATCCTGTTTTCCCAGCTGCAGCTAATGAAGGGAATCAGGGCCTTTTTCTCCCCTGTAAGCCACATAACTCATGTTGCTCCCTTCTCCATTCCTCCTTGCATGCCCTAGGATGAAGAGGGGGTGGGCCTGGGTCTTCCTCTGAATGCCCAGCCAGACTGTGCCCTTCCCCAGTTTCCTCCACAGCCACTGGAGCCACCCCCTCACTTCCTGTCAGCTGTTCGACCCTCACCCCTTGGAATCAGACTCCAACAGGGGCATGACAGGAGGTTGTAAAATGGGACAAAACTCACTTAACCAAGGTCTCGCTTAGCAACAGAAAGGTTGCCCTCAATTGTTGTAAGCCGAGGACTACCTATCGTCATTCTTAGTAAGGAAACACTTTGCATTGAACTGTGAGTTAGCTGTGCACCCCACAGTGCACAATGACATTTGAGCGAAGTTTTCCACACAGTTGTGGGTGCCTTAACAGGGCTAGTTTAATCGTCTGAGTAGAAGCACTTCAAGTGTCCTTTGGAGCATTGCAGAGCTAAGAGTCTTAAACTGTAAATGCTTCTATCAGCTCTGACAGGCTGGGAACAAGGAACATAAATCAGGAATTCCAACTTTGTGAAAGGCAGAAATAAAATAAACTGTTTGCACCCAACCGCCATCTGTGTTTTTACTATCCACGGTCATGGTCTGATCATAGACAAAATAATCCCCCCTGTTTGCTCCCATGAGGGGTGCTGCAAAGCCGCCATACCACCTTGCTGCTTAAAAGTCCCAAAGGAGGAGGTGTGATGAACCTCAAGTTCTTGCAGGTGGAAAATTGGGTTAGTTGATGGCTCCACAAAGTTTTAGAACATAGAATAACGTTGGAAGGGACCTTGGAGGTCTTCTTGTCCAACGCCCTGTTGAGGCAGAAGACTTTTCTTCAAAACCTCCAGTGAAGGAGCATCCATAACTTCTGAAGGCAATCTGCTCCTTTGGTTGATTGTTCTCATCATTAGGAAAGTTCTCCTTAATTCCAGGTTGCTTCTCTCCTTGATTAGTGTCCATCAGTTGCTTCCTGTCTTGCCTTCAAGGTGCTGTGGAGAATAGGTTGACCCCACTCCTCTTTGTAGGAGCCTGTCATGCCCCTGTTAGAATCTGACTCAGAGGGAGAGGAAGAACAGCTGATAGAGAGTGGGAGTGTGACTCCGGAGGTTGTGGAGGAAACTGGGGAAGGGCACAGGCCAGCTGGGCATTCAGAGGAAGACCCAGGCCCATCCCCGCTTCATCTCAGGGCACACAGGGAGGAGCAGATAAGGGAGAAACGTGAATGGTGTGGTCTATGGGGGAGGAAAGGGCCTTGATCCCCTTCATGGGCTGCAACTGGGAGGAGTGTTTAAAAGGACAAACTGCGCATGGCCCAGTGCTGGAAGCAAAGCATGGAAATAATTTTAGTCTATCAGTTCTTATCTGAGTTCTGGCGTCCTTCCCAGTGTGTGTATTTCGATATCTGTGGACGTCTTCAAGCCCTTATCCTGCCTTGTCTCATTAATTGCTTCTGTGTGGTTTGTGTTGTTTTTATCTATTAATAATTTATATGTATTTTGAATGGCATTTCTTCCTTTTCACAACTGTTTGTGGGGGAGTTTTTTCTCCAGTCAATGATAATCGGACCTCTGAAGCCAAGTTGAAGGAATTAAAGGGACTTCACCTGTTTTTGTGACTTTGTTGCTTTTGTATCCCACCCTGGGTCATTACAGAGCCCCTCAAACACTGGAAGACTGCTATCATGTCCCCCCTGGTCCTTTTCACTACACTAGACTAATCAAAGGACTGAAAATAAAGAGGTTTCTTTTTCTGCATTTTCAGAACAACGTAGCTTTGTTAGAAAGGTCATAACGTAACGCCTTGCCCTGATTTAATGAACATTTTGTTTAAAATAGCTTTTGAGAAACACAGCCCACCTGCGTATGTGAGCTTGCTACCCGAGGTTGCTTTAGGCCACCGAGTACCGCGGTAGTAGGATAGCGTCTTTGTGTTGAGGGGGTGTGGGACCCATTCCCAGCTCTCTTTCAACTTGCCCTTGAAACCCACCATGCAGTTTGCAGGGAAGCCGAAATGACAACACTGCAGCTTAACTCCGTGCGAAAACGAGAAAGATCGCACAGCCATCCAAATGACTCGAAAATGTTCCAAGTACTTAACACTGTATTATCACAGCAACAACTCCCACGGCTGTTCTAAGGTAGACCAATATTGTTTGCTTACAGGTAGGGAGGGGCACCTGGCATGGGTTTTGCAACTTGCTAACTAAACATAGTTACTTTGTATTTTAATTTGATTTTATTCTCTTTTTTTAAAAAA